TGTGGTGTTTTTACTGCAAATGGCAAATAAACTGAATCTGAATCTGAGGTCTGACAGGAACTGGTGTTCACATGCAGGTATGGCCACTAAGTTTGTGAGAATCTCAATGAGCTTATATATTGTCAAAATATTGTGACATGTCGTTTAATAATGTGATGACATATGCAAGGGGAAAACTATCATTACAATATATATATAATATGTATATAGGGTGATCTTTGTGTTGCACCACATATTAACTACTTCAAACATTCCCTTTTTGGTCTGGTACTTACTTGTTATTATCTTCCAAGTCGATGTTTCGTGCCTTTCTGTCCAGGCTTCAGCGAAACAGCATGTCCTATTATCCCACACAGTACATTAGCAGCCATAGAGTTGTCCATTTGTCACCAGTGTTGGGGCAGAACTTTTCAGCATTTTCTGTTGTCACTCTAATTTCCTCATTCCATTCACTTCGAGCGCCGCCATCTTTCTCTCGCTGGCCCGGAGAATGTTGATTATCCGTCTTGTTCCAGGCTTCATTAACCGGACCACACAAACATGGCCCAACGACACAACGGCGTGCCAAAAACTGTGTTCCAGAGCCGTTATCTGACATGATCGGAATGGGCGGCCACAAAGAGGAAAATTCATAATGTGTGGGGAGATAGCGGCACAACTATCATTTGCTCAATTAGCGAGAGCGCATTAGCCAAAGCACTGCATCACAAGTGCAGAGCTGGCACGGACCTCCAGGACACGCTATTGGAGACATTAGCATTAGCATAGAGCGGGCTAACGAAGAGAAGAGCGCCGCATTTTCAAAGGACACGCTGTCATTAAATATTCAGCGACAGCGGCAAGAGTAAATTTGTCCTGGTTCATTTGTGTAGTTGGTATTGCTGTGTGGTCAGAAACACACTACTATACAACATTATGTACTTTCAAAATACATTTGAAGCTGGGATATGTAATTTTCAAGCCGCAAAAATAGATCTATGTAAAATTATAATCCATCTCACGAGTTCCAGTTCCCAAAACATGTTTGTTATAATCACTGGTTTTCACATTCTGGGCCTGCATTAAAGCCTGTTTCACATTTTTAGATATTTTTCAGACAGAAAAACTCTCAGGCCCAAGGGTCAAATAGTGACTAACAGGGCTCTTTCATTTATATTAAGTGGTCTGATTTGTTCTTTTACAAGACTCTGTCTGTTAGGACAAACATTTATGAATAATAAGAGTAGAATATATTTTACACATAGAGGTGTCTCCAGCCAGACAGATGTGTTCTTTTTTTTTTTTTTCGAAGTGCATTACATATACAGAGAGACATATCATTCTGTATTTTTCAAGTTCTGAAAAAATAAGACGACCTTAACGTCTGAGGGAAAATGTCAGTGTCATAATAAAACATGCAGATAAAACTCATACAAAAAAATATATACAACAGTTACAATGTCATAGAATTACTGTTACTGTATTCATGTCAAAATTGTAAAACAAGGTGTATAACATTTTGAGGTTTTAATATAAAGGCGTGTGATGTGTCTCGCCAAACCCATGCTACAGAATTTATTCTCTGATGTATAGCATACTTGAAAAGAATACAATTTCCCGATTTAAAAGTACAATTTGCCAACACAAAACCTCAAACAACATTCATTCCTGACTTTGAATCCCTCCTCGTGCCCTATAGAATCATCTCGAGCTGGTATCACACTGGTTTTGGCGAAAGAACGGCATTGTTGCAGCCCTGGGATATTTCTTCTTTGGATTTTTTTCTGCTGAGATATTGTGTGATCTCTCCTTAACTTTGACAGAGAATATGAGAACGCAGAGGGAAAAATAGAAATGGTAATCGCAACGTGCTTGGGGGAAATACATGCCCCATTACAGCGGGACTTTTTTTTTTGTTGGGAAAAACTGGAGGGAAACAAGGCTTGCACTTTAAGTAAACAGCCAATGTATCCACTGAGACCAAAGGAGCGATGTGTTATGGGAGCTTAATCTGGAACGCCGCGGGTATATGCATTGTACAAGCGGCGCTTTCATTCATTGTGGTCGGTGTTCGCCTGATATCGCATTATGGAGAAGGAGATTTGCCATTAAAACTCATTCCGTGAACATGCGACTTGTGTGATTTACAAAAGGGTATTACACAGTCGGATCAGGTTTTCGTCAATACCCCAGAGTGGAGCTGTACAATGGGAATTATTCAGAGCTCGCCTTTACAATAATCAAACAAGAGGAGCAATGGTTTGGACCTGGGATTGATTGCGAAACTCCATGGGGGGTTTTCTGGGTGGAGTTTGTTTTGCTGTTTTTTTTTCTTTTTTCTATTGCCTTGTGGAATTCCTTGGGTGATCAGGTTTTTTCAAGGCGAAATTTGCAAATAACTCACGACAATCTGCAGGAACCTGTGAGTTCCAATGATAGTGAAATAAGAAAGGGAAGAAATTAGCTGCCGCGACCCTGCCCCTGACAAGACTGGTAATGATTCGAGCTGGGCCCTTCGTCAGACCATTTTCAGTTCACCGGAAATGTAAACCACAAACTAGGGGCCGGTAGTGTGTCGTGAGAGTAGAGCTGCACAACATTGGAAAAAAGTGGTGTCAAGGATTTCAATTGTGTCAATTGTGGACTTACGTTTAATTGAAGGTTAAATATGTTTATACATGCAAAAATTTTAAAATAGAAATTTGGGTTCAATTGCCAATTTTGAAAAAGCTTTTTTCAGCACAGACTTCAGGCGTTATCAAAATTAGGCTGTTTTTGGTCATTCCTGCAGATAATAAAATTAGACCTAGAAAGGAAGACCATATTTGTTTTGAAGCTTGTCGTTGCAGTTACTGGTTCATAATCTGCAAACTCCAAATCATCTGATTGGCACAGTATACAGTACAGGCGGTACAGTAACCAGTGGAGAATAAAAAACTTAAAACTAAAAAATCAAGATTCAACACCAAATGTTAAAGTTTGCAACAGCATTACTTGGAATCTGTTCACAGAGAATATAGTATAGTAAGTCAAACGCAGAGGTTACATTTTGTCACGGGGAGAGTAACACACGAAGATACAGTTGTTTTGTCTTGTCTTTTTGTTGACTATCAAATGTATGAAGTTCCTTAAATCCAGTTATAAGAACCTTCAAAGCGTATGTTGATAATCCATAATAAGAAATCAGTTTATCATTTGAAACTCATTTAAAATAATATTTGTATTTTGTTGTCTTCATCCCTTGACTTACTTGCATTTATGAATAAAAAATGAAACAATCAAATGTTCTCTCACCCCCAGTGGGTATTAGCCCACTCGCCTCTGAGAGTCAGCAAACTGCCCCGACACAAACAGCCTTCTGAGTGAATTACAATTTTCTTTCCCGTTCCCGTCTTTTCTCTTGTATTTTCACTCTCCCCTTTCTGACGGGCCACTGAACCCTAGGTTGGCTGTGTATGCACCAGCAAACATGCTGATACGATCTTAAAGGTCATGTTCTTTTCACGTTGACAGAGGCCTTCCAAAAGTTTGACGAGGGGGTCCCTCTAAAGGATAGTGTGTTCCACAGTGGTGCAGCAGCAGTGGTAGAGTCGGGGTGGGCAAACTGGAGCTGATTAATGTTCTACATCAGCAGCTCTTTTCCCATTCAGAGTGCATTTCCAGAGGCAGTCAAGCTCATCCAGGATGGCCCATCAGCCACGCTCGCTCTTCCCTGTGGTGTTCTTCCTGAGGTTACAAGATAAACTGATTATCACTAATCAGCTGCAGTAGCATTGGCTCCTGGGGTTTACTCCAGAAGCCGCTCATATATTATTAGGTAAAAGTGAAGTAGATCGCCCCGTGATAGCTTCTTCTCACTCCTAACATTTAGTATTTTATGAAGACAAAATGACAGATGTGGGAAAATTAGTCTTTATACCTTTACAAATCAAAAAACAATGTATACATCCTAAATACTGATTGCAATTTGCCTTTGTGTAAAGACGACTCAGGCAAAGCAAAGACAGTTGCTGGATACAGATTTGATTTGTCTCTCCTTATGAAGGACGTGAGGAGAATGTATGACATTCTGAGTGGAAAAAATAAGCCTAATCAACAACATGCTTGGTAGAACATGAGATAAATACAAGTTCATTCACCAACATCCATGAATGCAGTAAAGCTGAACCTGAACGTGCTGTACAGGAATGTTGGTTCTGAGATGCAGAAGTTGTGCTCTCTTTTTGTAAGGGGTGTTGTCTCTGAGGAGCAGTCTATAGGTAATGTGCAGCACTTTGTAAATGAGACTGTTAGTGTTGATGGTGGACCACTGTGGACAGCTCCTCTTGCTCTCCTTGTTTTTAAAAGGCAGCAATAATGGCCAGTAAGGACAGCCTTAAGAGCAGCTGGCAGCTTGAAGCTTGACGCACCCAAAGGTCATTGATCCCCCCTCTCCACGGCGCATGCTCTTGCTCTCTTTTTTGAACAATTCGTCCAGATTTTGGCATTTTGTGAACACACATAGGACAGCTCACCGACAAGCCGACCTTGACAGCGAATTGGATAAATAAACCTTCAATTTAGCCTCCTCTCCTCCTCCGTTGCCGGCACTGCTCTCTGGCTGAGGCAGAGAGTCCCAGCGGGAGGCTTCACCTATCCATATCGTTCAGCCCACGCTCTGCTCCACTCAACGTTCCTTCCCTTCCCCTCTCGCCGCCTGTCTACCAGAGCTGCCCTCAGTGCTGTGACAAACACGGCCTAAAGATAAGCTAACAGCCCCCTTGCGCTCCAGTCAAAGTCAATCCTTGCATCGCGTCGGAAATTTAATGCCAATTCTGTCTCTCAGCCCCGTCCATCCCATTTCCGCTCTGTTCGCCGCTTCTGTCTGCACTCGCCTCAGTCAAAAGTCCCAGGGTAATGCGCGTACGCAAACACACACTGGGGTTCCTATCAGATGGGGTTTGGCGTCTCCGGGGAGAAGCAGCCATGAGAGCACTACTCCATAACGGGTAATGACATGGCATTTAATGATACTGTCCAAAATGATCGGGCCTCCGTCGACAGCTGCGGCTGCTCTGCATGGAGGCCGCACAGCCGTGGAGCGCCAGATAAGCATGGCTGGGCCCACATTACGGCGGCTGAGTGTGAGGCTGGCTCTGAACACGGCACAGGCAATACTGTATCTCTCACTCGTGCAGTCGCCTGATAGGAGGTGACACTCAGCCTTCTGCAAACCACCTCAGTCTGCCGTCACCTCTTCACCGCTCCACTCCATATTCTGTTCTCCAGAGCACACAGGGTCTATACACTCCAGGAGCACGGAGATAAAGACTAGCGATTGTTTTAACTGAAATTCTGCTCAAATGAAATGGCAACAAAGTGAATGGCTGTTAGAATAGAGGTGTTAAGAATGAAAACTAACTAATTACAAATGCGCTGCTGCTGAAGCTGCACACATTTCCATCCTGTCTTTGAGTAAATGTTTGAAAGAGCTGAGGTTTTTAAGAAAGAACATGTAAAAACATTTTAGTCAGTCATACATTTTATGTTTAAAGATTGGTGAAGTGATTCATATGAACATCAATCACTCATAGACAATGTTAAATCTTTTCTAAAACATGTAAAATGTGTCCTGTACAAGCGGAGAGATGCAGGGACAAAATACCTCCTAAAGCAGCACAGGCCAATAATGTGGATCTCCATCCATCCATCCATCCATTTTCTACCCTTTAATCCATTTCTGGGTCAGGGGGGTGGCAATCAGAGATGCCACCCAAGTCTCATAGCACCAGCCCCTCACTGACCCTCTGCAGGTGGTGAGTCCACAGGAGGACGGCTGCTCTAAGTGTGAGCATAGCCTTGATCTTTCAGTGGGGGCTTTGGGCAAAGTGGGGTTAAATGTCTTGCCCAAGGACACAACGACAGCAGTCATCAGTGGGAGTCGATGGAGAAGGTGCAGAGGTGGGAATGTGGATCTACCCTCCTTTATTTGTACTTACTTTTTCACAATTGGTTTTAAAGCATACTACCTTTGGCATCTTCTATTTTGAAAGTGTGCTCTTTGTCTATCTGCTGAGAGGAGAGTCAATGCAAGAATTCAGGATTTTGAGCAGTAAAAACTGTCCATGCTTTATAACACACTGACGCTCAATCCCTGCACAGAGTGTGTATGCTGCTTCACCTCAAGAAGGGTTCCATTCTTGCGTTGTCCCTCTCTTTGAGGAGTTGGCCTGTTTCTCCCCATGTCTGGGTGGGTTTCCACCAGCTTTGATAGTCCTGACCAAGCCAACCATCAACGAGATGAGTGCAGTGGTGACCACAGTGGTGATTGCAGGATGGGTCAAAAGCAGAGGACAAATTGCAAATGTACGTATGTGGACCATAGACTGCATGTCCTTATTTATTCTTTAATTTTGGAGTTAAATTTTCAATGCAAGTTAATTGGAGCCAGAGCATGTTGGAGAAAAACGTTGTCCATGAGCCCTTCCATGTTTGGGTGCACTGTAATAGGGAGTTAGCATTGTCCATCTATTCACAATCTAAGACGGGGTCATAACACATTTATCATAACCTTGACCTATCCATATCAACAAGCAGGTAACATCTGCTACCTGTAAACCTGTAAGGACTATGCACATTGTTTGCACTTTTAAACAAACCAAATTGTGTGGACGTCCAACTATTTCCATTCGAGTGAGAATCGCTTCTCAGAACAACATCCGCTTTCTCCACAATGTACAGTGAGTGCTTTGCCACGGCACTTTTCAGTCCAGTCGTGTGTCCGTCTATTCTCAGTAGCGTACATGCGTGAGCGTCAACGTTTCAGCGACAGCCGTAATGACACCTCAGGGCGAAAGTAAAACACAAACCCGTCTGGCTGTGATAATGAGTGGCTTGCTCCGAGTGCACTGATAGACTGTAGAGAAACCGTTGTAGGCAACTCCATCAGGTAATTAGATTGAACCTACAATACTGACTAATAAGTGTTTAGGCAGAGAGCTAACAGCCACCTGTCCACACTTCAGCCAGGTGTCTACAAAGTGCTCTGTGTTAAGTGGGGCTCTCTAGAACTCGGACTGATTTGAGTATTTCTAAGTTGATTACAGCTGTGGCTTTGTAGATTTTCCAACTTGTTTTTCAAAATATAATAGCAGCAGCTATGATAATATGTCAGGAACTTGATCATATCGGTTAGGAAAGTTAACCGATATCAAAAGGAAGGAAAATGTACCTACGTTTTTTTGTATTTTGTTTGTTCCAAAAAAAAGGAGCATTTTTGTGAATAAATCTGACCACAATATGATGCTATTAGAAATTGTCTTTTACATACTAAGAGCTATAATATTTAATTGTGTCGATTAAACCCATTACATTGTAAATCCTTGTTATTCTAAATCTTACAATCATTCCAGTTGAATTGCTTGTAAGCCATGCATAATATCAGAGAACTCAGCCGGATGCCAGGATGTGCAGTTTGGCTCCTGTGTTTTGATGACTTGGCTCCAGGGTAGAGTCTGGATGCATCTTGCTGCTGTCGGTGTCAGATCAGGGGCCGGAGGCATGCCCCAAGGCTGCCCTCGGGGGCCCCTACACTTGAGATACACACTCATGCTGACGTACAGGCGCAGCTCTTCTTAATGCTCGAATTTACATAAAACCTTCTGATCAATGCCGTACAGGATCAAGGTAATTCTTTGAGACAATGTTATAAAGTTATTATGTGATTGTGTTTTTCGACAGGACGTAGAAACATGGATGGGTGGAAGAGGGGAGGGAATTCAACACTTTCCCATAGTCAAGGCACACAGTAAGTCTGAGGGAATTACTGTATGTGCTGCTGTTTCAACAAGATGGGCAAACATTTTTAAAAGTATACTCCTTACTGCTCTCCGGATGAAACCAAAAAACCTATTTGTTCAGTTTGCTTGCAATCTCGCTGTTAACAAAAACATACATGATTCCTGGAAAAACTTATAGCTGAGCAGCTCCGCTGCCACCTGCAGGAAAATGATATGTTTGAAGTCTTTCAATCAGGATTCAGAGCTCATCATAGACTGAAACGGCACTAGTCAAAGTCACAAATGACTTACTACTAGCTGCCGATAATGGACAAGTGTCAGTGCTGGTCCTACTGGACCTTAGTGCTGCATTTGACACAATAGACCACAGCATTCTACTGCAGAGGCTAGAATGTGATATAGGTCTTAGAGGAACAGCCCTTGGCTGGTTTAAATCCTATTTATCAGATCGATATCACTTCGTCAATGTGAATCAGGACTCGTCGCCTTATTCTGGAGTGGAATTCGGTGTGCCGCAGGGTTCGGTACTCGGACCGATTCTTTTTACTCTCTACATGCTGCCACTGGGAAACATTATTAAAAAGCATGGAATTAATTTCCACTGCTATGCAGATGACACACAGCTTTATCTGTCGATGAAGCCTAACCAGACAGATCAGCTAGAAAAGCTCAGTGTCTGCATAAAGGACCTTAAAATGTGGATGACTCTTAACTTCCTACTTCTCAACCCGGAGAAGACAGAAGTGATCCTACTCGGCCCGAAGCGCCTGCGTGACTCCCTCACTAACCAGATAATTACTCTCGATAATGTCAGTATAATACCCAGTAACACTGTGAGGAATCTTGGAGTCATTTTTGACCAAGAACTCTCCTTCAAGGCTTATATAAGCCAAGCAACTAAAACGGCGTACTTCCACTTACGGAACATCGCTAAAATTAGGAATTTCCTTCCTAAAAGTGACGCGGAAAAACTCATTCACGCGTTTGTCACCTCAAGGCTCGACTACTGTAACGCTTTACTGGCAGCGTGCCCTAAAGCCTCTTTGAAGAGCTTCCAGCTCGTTCAGAATACAGCAGCTAGGATCTTAACAGGTACCAAAAGGAGGGAGCACATAACTCCGGTGTTAAAATCACTCCACTGGCTCCCTGTGGAGTACAGAATAAAGTTTAAAATCCTACTCTTAACATATAAAGCCATAAATGGCTTGGCTCCTTCTTATCTCCAAGACACGTTAGTGTCGTATCAACCAGGTCGAGCGTTGCGCTCACAAAACGCCAGACGTCTGGTGGTCCCTAAGGTCTCAAAGGTCACTGTTGGTGGCAGAGCATTTAGCTACCAAGCTCCTTTACTGTGGAATCAGCTTCCCATTTATGTTAAGGAAGAAGATACGGTCTCCACATTCAAGGCCAGTCTTAAAGCACTTTACTTTAATTTAGCATATAATTAGGTAATATATAATATGTAGTGTATATATTATATATATATGCTGTATTATGTTATATATTATGTTATATATTATTCAATAATGTATTGTGTTATGTTGTATATTATGTTATATATTATGCTGTATGTTATCCTTTATTCAAGGCTAGGTTTAAAACAGTCCTCTTTAGTTTAGCATATGGCTAGGAAGGTAAGACTCGGAGAAGGTTAAACTCCTCAGAGTGTCAGTCAAGCTGCATAGGGAGTCAGTTTGCTGGGAGAAGTATGGTAACTTGAGCACTATCCTCTCCTCCTTCCTACTTTATCTGTTTAGCATTTTTAGGATTCTGACTGTAGTTTGTTCATTGCTATTCACCCGTTGTCCCATTGTCTGTTTCATGGTACGATGACGGGATCTCTGAGCCTGGCCTCTTCCATCTACACCTGCGGACTGCCCCGCCCGACCCGCCTGGGAGTGCTTCAGTCCTGCACCGGACCTGTCCACGTTCAGCGGCCACTGGTCCACGTTCTGTAGCTAGCTTAGGTCCTAGATCATTAGCCTGTCCGTCCGGAGGAGCGGATCCCTTTCTCATATGGGTCTCCCTTCCTGTGGGTTTCCCTAGTTCTCCTCCAAGGTTTCTCACTTTTTCCCACTGGGTTTTTTAAGAGTTTTTCCTTGTCGATGCAGGAGGGTCTTGTTGGACAGTTAGTGTCCAACAGAAAGGATTGGTGATGATCAGGACACTTTAGCATTCTACAACATGTATGGACATTTTCTTCTGTGTGTGCTTTATATTCTTCATGTGTTTTAACTGTTGATTCTCTGACCTGTGTTGGTGATTTCAATGGTTTTGTTAAGTCCTCTGAGATGACTTCTGTTGTGACCTAGGGCTATACAAGAATAAATTGTATTGTAAATTGTATTGTATTGTATCATAAAATACACTTTGATTACAATCTATTTGATATTATGTGTTGTGTAAATTCTACTTATTTCTAACTAACCCATTATTGAAATAATTGTCAACTAATTTAGTAAAATCAGTGTTTGAACCAAACACAGACATAAACATACAGTGAGGATGTTTTATGACTCGAGCAAATCTGTAGAATGAAATAGAAATGTGAATAAATATATATTTATTCACTTATCAAATAACCAATTTAGTTTCAACTTAAATCAATGTCCTTTAGTGGGATTTTTTTTGGTAAAAAATAAATAAATAAAAACCTCATCTACTTGCATTTTATGATCTCAATTCTAAACAACTATTCAAGCTGGAGAACCTTAATTACACCTGTCCCAAATGTAAAAAAGAAAAAGTACATACTGTGTGTCTGTAAACACAGAAAAACAATAATTAAACAAGCAACAGAAAAAAATTAGAAACACTGGCCAATATTATGAAAATGTTTTGAGAGTGAATTTCAAAACAATTGAAAAGAGGAGAGAGATTGGATACAAGGAGGACTGAGAGAACAGAAGAGGAACAGTGAAATGTTTGTGCGGGAAGTTTCTGATTTTAGCATCGATGGAACTAAGAATGCTCACCAGATCTTTTTTTTAATGAGGAACAATGTTGTAACATGAGGAGAAGGCAAGGAGTGCTCAGGGGCTCGATGTCGTTAGAAGCCGTTAGGATTGTGTACCAATTTGTATATTGTATTGACAAGTATGTGTTTTAGGGTGTATTCAGACCTGAAAAGTCTTTTGCTCCGCTTGCTTGATCCGAATTAAAAGCGGACCAAACTTTTTTCTTTTGCTCCGGTTCGTATTCAGACTGTCCTTTTTGCAAGTGAACTTTTTATATAAACATATTGACACGTGTGACGATCGGCGCTCCTATTGGACAGCGAGAGCTCACGGAGGATAGACGCGGAACCGGCAGAAAACATTGAGGGCTCGTATGTGCAGCATGTCTGCTCTGCCTATGTTTGCTCTTTTTAGAGCAAAACCACCTTCAACATCTACAGCAGCAGCTCATATGACACAGGCGAAACACGTTGTTTTAAATATTGGAACAGGGTCGGAGAATGCGTGAGGAGAAAGCCGAAGGAGACTGTCTGTACGCTCTGTGCCCTGTCCCACACATGGATCTATGATAATAACCCTGTTCCACAACTTACTGACAGCAGCATCGTGGATAAACCATGGATCTATAATAACCACGGGACAAACAGACGCTGAGGATCAGGTAGGAACCAAAGAACACAATTCACTACATGATGCGGAATATTGCTCTTTGAGACGTGAGTCTAACAGTGTCAGGTTTTTAATAATACAAATGATTTGAAGATGTTGCCATTAACATCAATGTATACTGTGAACAGTTTTAACTCCATAAGCCTGTTGCACAGCGTCTCCTCACTGCTCCAGGTCTGCAACGGGTTAAATTGTTGTTGTGTAGCGTTAGCAGCATAGTTAGCCGCTGCGTGGCTAATTCCTCAGTTTCTGTCTGTGACTTGTTAAGCCGAAAAAATGCGCACGTACCTTGGAGTTGTGTCGGATCGACACCGGATGTATTCAGACCTGATTCGATTTGGAGAATTTGTTTGGAAGCGGACCGAGACCACCTAAAAAAGTGGGTCTCGGTTCGGTTCTTTGGTCCGGACCAGGATTCGTTTGTGTGTATTCAGACCTGCATAAAAGCTTTGGATCAGAGTTCCAAACGAATCCTGGTCCGTTTAAAGTGGAGTAAATGTGCAGGTCTGAATACACCCTTAATTGTATTTTTTTCAGGTTTGTCACATGACTGATTGGTTCAAATAGGTGGTCATGCACATGGGCATTTCTCACAAGCCCTGACGACAACATTACATTGAAACGCGTTGGAGGATTAAACTAAGAACTTTTTTCATCCGAGTGCCTCTGACTCCTTTTCTCAAAGACAATGTGGTCACATGGTTGGAAGCTCAAAAAAGTAGATACTGCATAACATGTCTCCTATAAGAGTTTTTAAACTTTCTTCCCAATCTCCTTCCGATCTCTAAACTTCTCCATAAACGTCCACTCAGCTCTTTGCCTATATGGTTCTGTAAATGTGTTGGTTTCTGCAATCCCCCCTTTACTTCAGCTTGGTGCTTATATCTGCTGGTTTATATCTGCTGGCTTATATCTGCTGGCTGAATCGCTGCGTCCGGACTGTAATAAGAACGCAAGCGCCTTGGCCTGGAGCATCGCAAATCAGTTCAGCATTGTATACTCCCTTTTTTTTCTTTTCTCCTCCACTCCTGCTCCCTTTAGCCTTTTCTCTCTCTCCCCGTCTGCCATCAGTCACCGAGCAGAGCGGATATTTTACAGCCCAAATTACTGGGTGGCTGACACAAATGAGTGGGGCCTGGGAACCTGTAGTAAGCTAATTGCAATGGCGGCCT